GCACTAACCATCCCAAAAAATAGAAAGGTTTTGCTAATTTCAAAAACGTAGAATTTCACATCAATCAGATCTTTGAAAATGAGCACGGCGCTACAGCGCCATTAATATTTGGCCGAAGACAATGTTCATTCTGCGCCACGGCGCAATGGGGGTCGGGCACCATGTAGATAGCAGTGAAAATTTGATCCGCTTCCAACACGAGCGAGAGAGAGAGAGAGAGACAGAGAGAGAGAGAGAGAGAGAGAAAGAGAGAAATTCATCACTTTCGCCTCGCTTTTCGAACAATTTGTTCTGGACGGTTAATGATTTCAGGTCATTCTGGACATGGGATCTCTCTTTGTGCAACAAGAGAATACCGTTGTCACCACAGTAATTTGCATCTTGGCCTTGGTTTTCTTTGATGTTGCATTCAGAGGTCGGTGGCATCAACTAAATTTGTTTCTTTTGGCATAGAAATCGTCTATATAAGAGAAACCCGATCTGACCTTGCATGTCGACTTGAAACCTGTCTGGTGGTCACTGGCTCAACTCATCATCCAAGGCATGGCTTTCTTTAGCATTATGTTAGTGGCAATTTTCGGAGCTATCCTCTACGGCATTGCCAAGCACTTCCTTCTAAAATACAGGACTCGACTGCCAGAAGTTCGGTTCGAGTTCTCCCTGAGTTCTCCCTGAGTTCTCCCAGTTTGAGGGATCAATTTGGGTCTCCACTCGAAGGAAACAGTTTCGCTTCTTCCTCTGCCATCAAAAGGTCTCTCGGAGATGAACAGCATGTCTCGGGTGGCCAAGAAAACCAGCAAAAATACCGGACATGGATGAGTGCAGTTCCTGTGGGGTCCTTTGTTTGAAAATGGAATCTGGTTGAGATTCTGAAACTCTTAATTTGCTCTCTTCACGCTCTTCCATCCATTCCTTGAGGTTGCTGCGGGGAGTTTGGCGCGGCTCCTGAAGATGGAGTTGCAGAAGCGTGGCTCACGCTTCACCACGTGACTTCGTCAGAACTGAGAAATGTGAGCCCAGGCTGGTTCACGTGCCCAAAAACGCTGAGATCTTCTGTGAACATGTTTTGTGTTCCGGGTATGTGTTCCCTTACATACCCGGACACCTACCCAGACACCTACCTAGACACCTATACCTACTATACCCTTTCCTAATCTTCACGGCCTAGCACCCAAAAAAGTGCCATGCTTGTATCGCCGTCTTTGTCGGAACTCTTGAGGTTCGTGGATTGCGACGACTTGAACGATTTGACGCGGCTCTTCAGCTACGTTGGCCAAGACACCGAGACGCTGGTGGTGCTCGCTAGCCCAGACATCTTAACCCGCAAGTGGTGCGTCGGAGAGATCTGCACCGCCAGGATCCAAAGGCGCGGAGAAGCATCGAATAGCGAAAGCCAAAGTGCCAGTCGAATAGCTAAAACCCAAACCAGCGCACTGTGATCGGTTTAATTACGAGAAATACCAACAAAGACAACGGAGAGCTTGTGGATGGGAGCATTGAAGCCTGTCCAAGACTCCAGGGTGGAAACTGTTGTGGTGGCCTTCCCGGAATACGTGCCTTGGAGAACTAGAGACCGAATGATTTTGAGTCTTGCTCCAGCTCGCAAGACAAGTGAGTTGTGAGTTTAACCATGTTGAACCAATCCCATGGTGTGATGTAAGGCCAACCCCGACAAGACCTTTATCGAAAGCTATTCATCCATTGTGCCGGACATCACTGAGCTGGCCAACTACAATCTGGGATTGGTGGCTGCCTGGTTTGACAGTAGTCTTTTCAGCACACCGCACCCTGCTGGAACTGGATTGGCAAGCACCCCCCAAAAGCAATTGCTTGCTATATCAAGGTTTGATTGGAACTGGAACGGAACTCCCTCACCCTTAATTGAGCATGAACTGAAACCGGAAGTGTTCCACCTTGGGGCAGACCCTGAGGTGCAAGGACCAGCCTTCAATTGGAGAGTCGTATTAGCTCGATGTGTCATGTTGTTTCATCTTTTTTTGTTTTTCTTGTGAAGCGATGGCCTCTAGCGATGGCCTCCAACCTAAGAGCGATGGTCTCCAGCCTTAAGCGAAATAAGGAGGTGGAAGAAACGCTCAGATGGATCAGCACACTGCAGACGATTGCTTTGCCAGCATTGCTGACCGCTGACGCTGTTGATTCCCTTGTGACGGATTTGTCAGGCCTGGTCGTGTGAGTCGTGTGTCACCGCTCATACGGTTACATATTCATCTCTATGATTTTGTCGCCACTTTGGACTGTCCAATCGGCCAAGGCACCTTTAAGGCAAAGTCCACGAAGCTTGGCGAAGTCGGGGTACGGAAACTGTAAGCTTTATCAATCCAGGTGTACTGAGTCTACTGTCGCTTTGGAATGCTGAAATTTTGTCTTCAAACCAGCTGAGTTTCAAGGACTGCCAGCTCGTGTCCTGATTGCATCATTCTCGCGGACCTTGACAATCTGGAGGCGGCTGCAACAGTGGCTTCGCAGAAGGATAATTCCCACAACGGTAGGGACGAGCAGTTTTGTTGTTCCAAGACTTAGGCCTACATCATGTTGGGTTTGCTGCTTCCGAAGCTGGTGGGCGGTTCGCACAACAGCATGCCCACAGTGCTGAAAAAGGATGGGGTTTTCGGCCGGCTTTGTGCAATTTGGTCGATTGAAACCGATTGTTCCCCAGATGCCAGGTGAGGGTCTCTAGATTTTATGAAAGGTGCAACTCTTTTCTTCTTCTTCTTCTTCTTTTTCTTCTTATTTTTCTTATTCTTCTTTTTCTTCTTTTTATTATAATTCTTATTTTCTTGCTGGCTTGTGTTGTTTTTTCTTGGTTTCCCCCTCCTCCTCCTTCTCTTCCTCGTTGCCTCCCTCCTTCCAGATGTCACTCATGTCGGGTGACGTCCTCAGAATTTTGACTCACGTTTTCGACTGTTCTTGTCTTCGTGTGCTGGGGTGATCTGAGATGCGAGCCCGCCTCGTAGCGATGCCCGAAATGCTCCGTTCGAGTCGCGATGCCCGTCCTTGCTCCGTTCGGTTCGCGTGTCCTTGTTCCTATAAGTAAGGCCAGGCCAGGAGTCCCTAGTAGCGCCCTTAGTAGCTTCCTTGCTCCTAGTAGTACGGCCAGCTTCTTGTTACTAGTAGTAAGGCCAGGAGCCCCGTTCGTAGCGTCCTTTTGATGTGTTTTGGCTTTCTCCGCAGGATCAGAAGATGCCCAAAAGCGCGACATCTGCTTTGATGATCTGCAGCGAGGGATGTTTCAGGCTTCGATCCAACGAACCGGCGATCGAAGCTCGGCAGCTCGTCGCTTCCAATTCGACCAGGTCTGCAGACGTCGCTTCCAATTTGCTGGCCGTGAAGGACTTGAAGACATGTTGCATCCTGCCCATCATCGCAGAGGACGCCCCAGACGCGACTGGAAACAAGAAACAAGATGAGACCTTGATACCTTGTGTTGGAGGCCATGGCTACTAGGATGGAGGCCATAGCCAGAGTTTCTTTTGGCTGCCATTGTGCTCTCCGAAGTCAGTCGGAGTGTCGTGTCCCGTCTAAAGGCTGACCCCCATGATTGCGCCAAACTCGCCCTTATGAATCGCCCTTCTCATGGTAACGTGGTGACCGGACCATGGATGATGGATGGCAGTTGCAGGTTTTGTGGATGTGGCAATGATGCTACAATGTTGTCATGGACCATGGATGCTACAGTCACTGGCAGAAAACGTGCCGAACCCCAGACAATGGGCCGTGCACTCTGTTTTGTTTCTTGGTTTTACGCATCTATGCTGCCCTGATTGTTTGCACATTTGGCCATTGCATTTGTTTCATTCATGTCCATTCGATGCCGATGCCGCCTTGACTTTTTGTCAATGTTATTCTTTGTCCTGCAATTGCTAAGCTACCTTTATCGTGCCAAGTCCCTGCTGTCGCCAAACAAAGTCGAAACTGAAGCAAAACCTATCTTTGCTAGGCCAGTTTCATTTTGGACACGTTGGCAACAGGACGAACTGGACGAACCGAACTGTAGATCCTCGAATCCAACATGGACCTGCACCGGTTGAGTGTCTGAAGTGACAACCTCGACAGAATCCGACCAACCTGAAGTAATTTGGTAATTTATTAACTCTCCCAAACTCGAAGGGCAACAACAGGGTGCCTTTGGGTCTTCAGAACACTGCTGCATTTTGTTCTTGCATCAAGCAGCCCGTGAAGTCATTGGTGGTGATCAATGACCTATGAGCATCGCAGCTGCCCGTTTGCTGACCCCGGTCGCTTTCTTCAGGACGGCTTCCGCTTCCCCAGCCAAGCGTTTTATGAAGACTTGGTGACAAATCGACAGCTCTCATCTCTTGATTTGCAGAGCTACGTGCAGATCATTAAGGCCATCTTTCAGGAGACCGACGCAGAGCCCCCCCGTTCGTAGCGTCCTTGCTCCTAGTACTAAGGCCAGGAGCCCCTAGTTGGGTCCTATGAAGACTTCAATTCTGCCAGGAGATTGCCGTGGTTTTCTCTCCTCAAAATTATTCCTCAACGCAGGAGGACTTGGAGCTTCGCTCGAAGCAGGTGTGGAAGAAGTCGTGCAAGAGTCAAGAACGCTGTAAGCTTTGCGTTCGGTTCAAGACATGGGAATTGGGGCCTAATTAGGGCTTCAGAAGACCAAGAAGTTTCATTCCGGCGGCTTCTTCCAGGAAGCTCCCCTCGGTGTCAGGTGTGGGGAGCTTCCTTGAAGAAGCATGAGGTTTAGCCTGCTAAGAAGCGACTTAAGAAGCGACTAGGTATCAGCTCCTACCTACTCTACCCTCCCCCGTAAAACAAATCGCTCCGGCATAGGCCCAGATAGCAACTAACTCCAAAAACAGAAGCACCTGAGACCATTACTCAAATAATTCAAATAACTCACAAAAGTCATGAGAGCTTCCACAACGCCCCTCCGTGAGTGTGACCAGCAGTGAAACACAAGTACAAAGTAAGCCGAACTCTTTGTTGAGTGTTGGACTGCCCTACCCACCCTCGACATGCAGATCACACAAGAAGACAAGTAAGGAGACAAGGCAGCAGCGGCGGACAAAACTGCAGATCACACAGACAAGTGGGGAGATATAGTGGGGAGACAACGCAGCAGTGGCAGTGGTGACCAAATCGCTGATCAGCCCCCCTCAGTCGCTTGCAGCAACTGGGAGGCAAAAATTGCTCAAGATTCCTCCTAGTAGTAAGGCCAGGAGCCCCTAGCAGCGTCCTTGCTCCTAGTAGCGATGCCAGGAGCCCCTAGTAGCGTCCTTGCTCCTAGTAGTAAGGCCAGGAGCCCCTAGCAGCGTCCTTCCTCCCAGTAGCGATGCCGGGAGCCCCTAGTAGCGTCCTTGCCCCTAGTAGCGATGCCAGGAGCCCCCTAGTAGCATCCTTGCTCCTAGTAGCGATGCCAGGAGCCCCTAGTAGCGTCCTTGCTCCTAGTAAGGCCAGGAGCCCCTAGCAGCGTCCTTGCTCCCAGTAGCGATGCCGGGAGCCCCTAGCAGCGATGCCAGGAGCCCCTAGTAGCGTCCTTGCTCCTAGTAGCGATGCCAGGAGCCCCCTAGTAGCGTCCTTGCTCCTAGTAGCGATGCCAGGAGCCCCTAGTAGCGTCCTTGCTCCTAGTAAGGCCAGGAGCCCCTAGCAGCGTCCTTGCTCCCAGTAGCGATGCCGGGAGCCCC